CACTGGCTATGTCCCTTCTGTCTTCAAGAGAGCGAGAGTTGCAGCCCTTCTCAACAAACCTACATTCGATCCCTCCGATGTCAACAACTACAGACCAGTATCCCTGCTTTCTTTTCTCTTCAAAACTCTTGAGCGTGCCGTCTTTAGCCAACTCTCTTGCTATCTCTCTCTCAGAATGACCTTCTTGATCCAAACCAGTCAGGTTTCAAGACTGGTCATTCAACTGAGACTGCTCTTCTCTGTGTCACGGAGGCTCTCCGCACTGCTAAAGCTAACTCTCTCTCCTCTGCTCTCATCCTTCTAGACCTATCTGCTGCCTTTGATACTGTGAACCATCAGATCCTCCTTTCCACCCTCTCCGAGTTGGGCATCTCCGGCGCGGCTCACTCTTGGATTGCGTCCTACCTCACAGGTCGCTCCTACCAGGTGGCGTGGCGAGAATCTGTCTCCGCACCACGTGTTCTCACCACTGGTGTCCCCCAGGGCTCAGTTCTAGGCCCTCTCCTATTCTCTCTATACACCAAGTCACTTGGCTCTGTCATATCCTCACATGGTCTCTCCTATCATTGCTACGCAGACGACACACAATTAATCTTCTCCTTTCCCCCTTCTGATAACCAGGTGGCAAATCGCATCTCTGCATGTCTGGCAGACATATCAGTGTGGATGACGGATCACCACCTCAAGCTGAACCTCGGCAAGACGGAGCTGCTCTTCCTCCCGGGGAAGGACTGCCCGCTCCATGATCTCGCCATCACGGTTGACAACTCCGTTGTGTCCTCCTCCCAGAGTGCAAAGAACCTTGGCGTGACCCTGGACAACACCCTGTCGTTCTCCGCTAACATCAAAGCGGTGACTCGATCCTGTAGGTTCATGCTCTACAACATTCGCAGAGTACAACCCTACCTTACACAGGAAGCGGCACAGGTCCTAATCCAGGCACTTGTCATCTTCCGTCTGGATTACTGCAACTCGCTGTTGGCTGGGCTCCCTGCCTGTGCCATTAAACCCCTACAACTCATCCAGAACGCTGCAGCCCGTCTGGTGTTCAACCTTCCCAAGTTCTCTCACGTCACCCCCGCTCCTCCGCACACTCCACTGGCTTCCAGTTGAAGCCTGCAAGACCATGGTGCTTGCCTACGGCACCGCCGTACCTTCAGGCTCTGATCAGTCCCTACACCCAAACGAGGGCATTGCGTTCATCCACCTCTGGCCTGCTGGCCCCCCTACTTCTGCGGAAGCACAGTTCCCGCTTAGCCCAGTCAAAACTGTTCGCTTGCTCTGGCACCCCAATGGTGGAACAATCTCCCTCACGACGCCAGGACAGCGGAGTCACTCACCACCTACCGGAGACACTTGAAACCCCACCTCTTTAAGGAATACCTGGGATAGGATAAAAGTAATCCTTCTACACTCCCCCTACCCCCCCCCCCCCCAAAAAAAAAGAATAATAATCATAATATATATATATATATTGTAAAGTGGTTGTCCCACTGGCTATCATAAGGTGAATGCACCAATTTGTAAGTCTCTCTGGATAAGAGCGTCTGCTAAATGACGAAAATGTAAATGTAAATGTAAAATGTAATTAGACAGCTACGAAGAATATAGATGAAAACTCTCTTGGTAGATAGTGTGGTCTACAGCTTTTCATGAGATACTCTACCTCAGGCGAGCAAAACCTCGAGACTTCCTTAGATATCGTGCACCAGCTGTTGTTTACGAATATACATTGACCGCCACCCCTTGTCTTACCAGAGGCTGCTGTTCTATCCTGTCGATACAGTGTATAACCCGCCAGCTGTATGTTATTCATGTCTTCGTTCAGCCACGACTCTATGAAACATAAGATATTACAGTTTTTAATGTCCCGTTGGTAGGATATACGTGCTTGTAGTTTGTCCACTTTATTATCAAGCGATTGTAAGTTGGCCAATAGTATCGATGGCAAAGGCAGATTAGCCACTCGTCACCGGCTCCTTACCAGGCACCCCGATCTCCTTCCGTGATATCTCCTTTTCTTTCTACTGCGAATGACGGGGATGAGGGCCCTGTCGGATGACTGGAGCAAATCCCTCTCGTCCGACTCATTAAAGAAAAATTATTAGTCCAAGGTGAGTAATCGCTGTTCTGATGTCCAGAAGCTCTTTTCGGTCATAAGAGACGGTATCAGCAACATTATGTACAAAATAAGTTACAAACAATGCGAAAGAACACACAAAATAGCACGGTTGGTTAAGATTCCATAAAATGGCAGCCATCCCCTCCGGCGTGCTCAAGGGCACGTCGACAGATCTCCCACAAGGTCAATAACGGGGACCCGAACCAGTGACCTATCAGCCATCGGCCCAAGCTCCCCAACCGCCAGGCCACCAGCCCTCCAAGATCCCCCCCACAGTTCCCGAGAGCTGCCCCTCAACCATCCGAGACTCCCACCCCCCCCCCCACCTCAATAAAATAAAACAATTCCACCCCCCCCCCCCCCCCACCAAGTTGGTTGTAATCTTGGATTGAGCAGACCTTCCCATACAATTCTGATAACTCTATGAAAGACTTAACTGTACCATTCCAATTTACAATATCATTTAAAAACAAAATACCCTTTTCAAACATATTTCCCATAAATACAGGTATTTTGTCAACCAGCACATTTGAGCTCAGCCATAATATTTGTTGTAATATTTGTTCTATCTTTTCAGGGGGGTGAAATTGCAATTCTTGTTTGAAAATGAGAGACACTTTGAAAAAGGTTTCATTTTCAATTAATCGAAAATGAGACATGGCAATCTGCACAAAGGCAAAAAGGCCATTTTCAAATGGATGATGGATGAGCTTCTCTTAGTAATCTACTTGAGAACCATTTAGGGTTCATGTAAAACTTTTGTATAAGTGAAGCTTATATGTAGTCAATGAGCAGCATTCTTACATAGGTATTCCTTTTGTCCAGGTGGGTGAGGGTAGTGTCGAGTGCAATAGAAATTGCGTAATCTCTGGATCTGTTGGGGCGGTATGCAAATTGGCGTGGGTCCAGGGTGTCTGGGATGATGGTGTTGATGTGAGCCATGAAAGGCCTTAGAGACCATATTTGTATTATATATATATTTTGTTTGAGAAACAGACACCTCACAGGTGCTCAACTGGTAGCTTCATTAAATAAACACCTGCAAAACACCAGTCTCAATGTCAACATTGAAAAGGCGACTCCGGGATGCTGACCTTCTAGGCAGAGTTGCAAAGAAAAAGCTGTATCTCAGACTGGCCAATACAAATAAAAGATTGTATGCACTCACTAACTGTAAGTCGCTCTGGATAAGAGCGTCTGCTAAATGACTAACATGTAAATGTAAAATGATAAACTTGGATTAGCAAACACAACATGCCATTGGAACACAGGACTGATGGTTGCTGATAATTGGCCTCTGTACGCCTATGTAGATATTCCATTAAAAAAGTCAGCAGTTTCCAGCTACAATAGCCATTTACAACATTAACAATGTCTACACTGTATTTCTGATCAATTTGATGTTATTTCAATGGACAAAAAAATTGCTTTTCTTTCGAAAACAAGGACATTTATAAGTGACCCCAAACTTTTGAACGGTAGTGTGTGTGTGTGTATATATACATATATATACACACACACACACAGTACCAGTCGAAAGTGTGGACACACCTACTCATTCAAGGGTTTCTCTTTATTTTGTTACTATTTTCTACATTGTAGAATAATAGTGAAGACATCAAAACTATGAAATAACACATATGGAGTCATGTAGTAACCACAAAAGTGTTAAACAAATCAAATGCTATTTTAGATGTTAGATTCTTCAAAGTAGCCACCCTTTGCCTAGATGACAGCTTTGCACACTCTTGGCATTCTCTCAACCAGCTTCATGAGGTAGTCACCTGGAATGCATTTTCAATTAACAGGTGTGCCTTGTTAAAAGTTAATTTGCGTAATTTCTTTCCTTCTCAATGCGTTTGAGCCAATCAGTTGTGTTGTGACAAGGTAGGGGGGTATACAGAAGATAGCCCTATTTGGTAAAGACCAAGTCCATATTATGGTAAGAACAGCTCAAATAAGCAAAGAGAAACGACAGTCCATCATTACTTTAAGACATGAAGGTCAATCAATACAGAAAATATTATTCAAGTGCAGTGACACGGTCTGTGATTTATTTAGAATTCAAGGCACACTTAACCAGCATGGCTACCACAGCATTCTGCAGCGATACGCCATCCCATCTGGTTTGGGCTTTGTGGGACTATCATTTGTTTTTCAACAGGACAATGACCCAACACACCTCCAGGCTGTGTAAGGGCTATTTTACCAAGAAGGAGAGTGATGGAGTGCTGCATCAGATGACCTGGCCTCCACAATCCCTCGACCTCAACCCAATTGAGATGGTTTGGGATGAGTCGGACAGCAGATTGAAGGAAAAGCAGCCAACAAGTGCTAAGCATATGTGGGAACTCCTTCAAGACTGTTGGAAAAGCATTCCAGGTGAAGCTGGTTGAGAGAATGCCAAGAGTGTGCAAAGCTGTCATCAAGGCAAAGGGTGGCTATTTGAAGAATCTCAAACATAAAATATATTTTGATTTGTTTAACACTTTTGGTTACTACATGATTCCATACGTGTTATTTCATAGTTTTGATGTCTTCACTATTATTCTACAGTGTAGAAAATAGTAAAAATAAAGAAAAACCCTTGAATGAGTAGGTGTGTCCAAACTTTTTACTGGTACTGTATAAGTGAATATTTTGCTCCCCTAAAATGGGGGGACTATGTATAAAAAGTGTTATAATTTTCTAAACTGTTCACCCGATATGTCTGCAGTTTAACCTCATAGTCATTGTTTGATTTCAAATCCAAAGTGCTGGAGTACAGAAGCAAAGCAAAACAAAACAAATGAGTCACTGTCCCAATACTTACAGAGGGCACTGTATAAAGAAAAAGGTTGGTTACCTGGGTACCCGCCGTCTTGACTGCCGACACGGGGAGGAAAGCAGTGGCCACAGGTTTGATGGTCATCTGCTTGTTGCTCTCCATGGCAATGCCTGGGCCTCCTCCTGGGGTGGTGGTGGGCAGGGAAGAGGTCCGCGTCGAGGTCGGGGAGGAGAACACAGAGGAGGACGTTGGGGAGGACAGGAAGGAGGAGACCATGATGGAAGACCCTTTCTTCAGGCGTCCAGCGTCTGACTCTACCTGGGCTGACGGAAGCACTCTGGTGACGGTGCGTTTGATCTGGCCAGAGGAGGTCTTGATGGTTTTGATCCGGACCTTGGGGATGACGGGTGTGGAGGGGGAGGAGGAGGGGGAACCAGAGCCTCTAATGCTGTCCTCGCTGGTGGTCGGGCTGCTGGGGCTCTCTGGCTGTTTGGACTGCAGCCTCCTGGCCACCTAGGATAGGATAGAATAGGATAGGATCAACTTTATTGTCCCCGGGCGGAAATTTGTCTGGGACTAATCTGTCGTGGACAGACTGCGTGACAGAAATGGTACTGTAATCGTTAATCGAGCATCTGACCCCTCCTAGAGGTTCGTCTTAGACACATAGTACTGATGTATTCAAGTAGAGAGTACAGTATACTATACATTTACACACTTGACATATACACAATCCATACCTCCAGAGCGGAGGTTGACTCCTGGTCTGGGGACTTCTCTGGGACCAGGACCCTGGGGCTTTCCCTCTCCTTGGCCTCCTTGGGGGCTTCCCTCTGGGTGTGGATGGTGGGGATGGTGGTGGATGAGTCTCTCTGGGTGGTAGGGGGAGACTCAGAGACCACAGAGTTAGTGGTGTCTGATACTGTGGCTTTCTTAGCACTGAGAGCTGCTATAGCAGCGATGCAGGAGGAAAGTTTGGCTGACGAATTGGCTTGCTTGGCCTGGGAGAGACTGGTGGACACAGACTGGACACAGGGCTCCCCAGCCTCCCTCCCTGAGCCCTCCTGGGGCCTAGGGGCCGTTGTCTCTTTGGCTTTCTCTTCTTCAAGTTTCCTTGATTTAGAGGAGTCGTAAAGGTTCAGACTAACAGTGACCAAAGTGTTGTTGTTTTTATCAAGTTTTGATTTCTCACAGTCTCCCTTGGACTTGGTCCCAGGTTTGGCTGTGCTATGAGAGTCTGCCAGTACGGCTTTTGTGGTCAGTTGCTCCTCTCTCTTGGCAGGTGGTTCTGTCAGAGGGTTTGTCCTAAAACATGGCAGGGCGCTCTGCTTGACCCTGTCCAGAGAGTCATCAACTTCAATCTTATCGTCATCGTCAAACTCCTCAGCGCTGGAAATGGGACTGAATTGGTTGAAAGTAGAGTGGGAGACGAAGTTGGAGCTGATAGCCAATCCATGATGAGCCTCCACATCTCTCAGAGTCTTATCGGCTCTGTTGTTCTTACTGTGCCGGTCGTTAGGTGACATTGACAGGTACCCGTTATGAAGTCCATTGTGGTTCACCATGGTGGTGGGCTCAGCCTGGACCTCCTTCTCTGGTCGTATGTGTTCTTCACCGCCGGCGTCCATTTTGTGGACATTCTTGACGATGACGCTGACGCCCACGTCTGGACCTCCAGAGGGGGTGTGTGCCTCGTCCTCGTGGGGGACGCTGGGGTGTTTGAGCTGGCCATCATGGGGGTCCTCGTGGGGGACACTGGGGTGTTTGAGCTGGCCATCGTGGGTGTCCTCGTGGCCTGACTCTATGGCTGTCTTCGGGTCCACCATGTCTGGGATGTCAAAGGCTGCCAGGAGGTCGTCAAAGTCTGGGGTCTTCATATCGGCCATGTTCTTGATGTGATGATGCAAGAACCTGGAAGAGACATAATGAAAAAATACAACTAGTTAGCTAGTACACAAATTAATACACAAACTCATTCAATCAGAACAATTTTGTCAACACACAAAAGAAGGGTGAGGAGATGATTAAGCCTCCAGATTCCACCCATAATGCCATTGGAGAGAACATGGAGTGCTATTGCACCTATTGTAAACAGTCATGACAAGCATTCATGGTTCTGATTAGGTGGGATACAGCTACGACCGGAAGTGACTTTTTCATATAAGTTTAGGATAATTAATGTATCAGGTTAGGATAATTAATGTATCAGGTTAGGAGACCTAATGTATCAGGTTAGGAGACATAATGTATCAGGTTAGGATAATTAATGTATCAGGTTAGGATACCTAATGTATCAGGTTAATAATTAATGAATCAGGTAAGGAGAATGAATGTATCAGGTTAGGATAATTAATGTATCAGGTTAGGATAATTAATGTATCAGGTTAGGATAATTAATGTATCAGGTTAGGAGACCTAATGTATCAGGTTAGGAGACCTAATGTATCAGATTAGGATAATTAATGTATTAGGTTAGAATAATTAATCTATCAGGTTAGGATAATTAATGTATCAGGTTAGGAGACCTAATGTATCAGATTAGGATAATTAATGTATCAGGATAGGATAATTAATGTATCAGGTTAGGAGACCTAATGTATCAGATTAGGATAATTAATGTATCAGGTTAGGAGACCTAATGTATCAGGTTAGGATAATTAATGTATCAGGTTAGGATAATTAATGTATCAGGTTAGGAGTATTAATGTATCAGGTTAGGAGTATTAATGTATCAGGTTAGGAGACCTAATGTATCAGATTAGGATAATTAATGTATCAGATTAGGATAATGAATGTATCAGGTTAGGCTAATGAATGTATCAGGTTAGGAGACCTAATGTATCAGGTTAGGATAATTAATGCATCAGGTTAGGAGACCTAATGTATCAGGTTAGGAGACCTAATGTATCAGGTCAGGATAATTAATGTATGAGGTTAGGAGACCTAATGTATCAGATTAGGATAATTAATGTATCAGGCTAGGAGTATTAATGTATCAGGTTAGGAGTATTAATGTATCAGGCTAGGAGTATTAATGTATCAGGTTAGGAGAACTAATGTATCAGATTAGGATAATTAATGTATCAGGTTAGAATAATTAATATATCAGGTTAGGAGACCTAATGTTTCAGATTACGATAATTAATGTATCAGGTTAGGATAATTAATGTATCAGGTTAGAATAATTCATGTATCAGGTTAGGATACCTAATGTATCAGATTAGGATAATTAATGTATCAGGTTAGGAGAATGAATGTATCAGGTTAGGATAATTAATGTATCAGGTTAGGATACCTAATGTATCAGGTTAGGAGTATTAATGTATCAGGTTAGGAGAATTAATGTATCAGGTTAGGAGAATTACTGTATCAGGTTAGGATACCTAATGTATCAGGTTAGGAGTATTAATGTATCAGGTTAGGATAATTAATGTATCCGGTTAGGAGACCTAATGTATCAGATTATGATAATTAATGTATTAGGTTAGGAGACCTAATGTATCAGATTAGGATAATTCATGTATCAGGTTAAGATAATTAATGTATCAGGTTAGGATACCTAGTGTATCAGATTAGGATAATTAATGAATCAGGTTAGAATAATTAATGTATCAGGTTAGGAGACCTAATGTATCAGATTAGAATAATTAATGTATCAGGTTAGGAGACCTAATGTATCAGATTAGGATAATTAATGTATCAGGTTAGAATAATGAATGTATCAGGTTAGGAAACCTAATGTATCAGATTAGGATAATTAATGTATCAGGTTAGGAGACCTAATGTATCAGGTTAGGATAATTAATGTATCAGGTTAGGAGACCTAAAGTATCAGGTTAGAATAATTAATGTATCAGGTTAGGATAATTAATGTATCAGGTTAGGAGTATTAATGTATCAGGTTAGGAGACCTAATGTATCAGATTAGGATAATTAATGTATCAGGTTAGAATAATTAATGTATCAGTTTAGGAGACCTAATGTTTCAGATTAGGATAATTAATGTATCAGGTTAGGATAATTAATGTATCAGGTTAGAATAATTAATGTATCAGGTTAGGAGACCTAATGTATCAGGTTAGGAGTATTAATGTATCAGGTTAGGATAATTAATGTATCAGGTTAGGATAATTAATGTATCAGGTTAGGATAGCTAATGTATCAGGTTAGGAGACCTAATGTATCAGATTAGGATAATTAATGTATCAGGTTAGGATAATTAATGTACAGTGGGGAGAACAAGTATTTGATACACTGCCGATTTTGCAGGTTTTCCTACTTACAAAGCATGTAGAGGTCTGTAATTTTTATCATAGGTACACTTCAACTATGAGAGACGGAATCTAAAACAAAAATCCTGAAAATCACATTGTATGATTTTTAAGTAATTAATTTGCATTTTATTGCATGACATAAGTATTTGATACATCAGAAAAGCAGAACTTAATATTTGGTACAGAAACCTTTGTTTGCAATTACAGAGATCATACGTTTCCTGTAGGTCTTGACCAGGTTTGCACACACTGCAGCAGGGATTTTGGCCCACTCCTCCATACAGACCTTCTCCAGATCCTTCAGGTTTCGGGGCTGTCGCTGGGCAATATGGACTTTCAGCTCCCTCCAAAGATTTTCTATTGGGTTCAGGTCTGGAGACTGGCTAGGCCACTCCAGGACCTTGAGATGCTTCTTACGGAGCCACTCCTTAGTTGCCCTGGCTGTGTGTTTCGGGTCGTTGTCATGCTGGAAGACCCAGCCACGACCCATCTTCAATGCTCTTACTGAGGGAAGGAGGTTGTTGGCCAAGATCTCGCGATACATGGCCCCATCCATCCTCTCCTCAATACGGTGCAGTCATCCTGTCCCCTTTGCAGAAAAGCATCCCCAAAGAATTATGTTTCCACCTCCATGCTTCACGGTTGGGATGGTGTTCTTGGGGATGTACTCATCCTTCTTCTTCCTCCAAACACGGCGAGTGGAGTTTAGACCAAAAAGCTCAATTTTTGTCTCATCAGACCACATGACCTTCTCCCATTCCTCCTCTGGATCATCCAGATGGTCATTGGCAAACTTCAGACGGGCCTGGACATGCGCTGGCTTGAGCAGGGGGACCTTGCGTGTGCTGCAGGATTTTAATCCATGACGGCGTAGTGTGTTACTAATGGTTTTCTTTGAGACTGTGGTCCCAGCTCTCTTCAGGTCATTGACCAGGTCCTGCCGTGTAGTTCTGGGCTGATCCCTCACCTTCCTCATGATCATTGATGCCCCACAAGGTGAGATCTTGCATGGAGACCCAGACAGAGGGTGATTGACCGTCATCTTGAACTTCTTCCATTTTCTAATAATTGCGCCAACAGTTGCTGCCTTCTCACCAAGCTGCTTGCCTATTGTCCTGTAGCCCATCCCAGCCTTGTGCAGGTCTACAATTTTATCCCTGATGTCCTTACACAGCTCTCTGGTCTTGGCCATTGTGGAGAGGTTGGAGTCTGTTTGATTGAGTGTGTGGACAGGTGTCTTTTATACAGGTAACGAGTTCAAACAGGTGCAGTTAATACAGGTAATGAGTGGAGAACAGGAGGGCTTCTTAAAGAAAAACGAACAGGTCTGTGAGAGACGGAATTCTTACTGGTTGGTAGGTGATAAAATACTTATGTCATGCAATAAAATGCAAATTAATTACTTAAAAATCATACAACAGTTGAAGTGTACCTATGATAAAAATTACAGACCTATAAATATTTTGTAAGTAGGAAAACCTGCAAAATCGGCAGTGTATAAAATACTTGTTCTCCCCACTGTATCAGGTTAGGAGACCTAATGTATCAGGTTAGGATAATTCATGTATCAGGTTAGAATAATTAATGTATCAGGTTAGGAGACCTAATGTATCAGATTAGGATAATTAATGTATCAGGTTAGGAGACCTAATGTATCAGATTAGGATAATTAATGTATCAGGTTATGAGACCTAATGTATCAGGTTAGGATACCTAATGTATCAGATTATGATAATTAATGTATCAGGTTAGGAGACCTAATGTATCAGATTAGGATAATTATGTATCAGGTTAGAAAAATTAATGTATCAGGTTAGGGGACCTAATGTATCAGATTAGGATAATTAATGTATCAGGTAAAGAGACCTAATGTATCAGATTATGATAATTAATGTATCAGGTTAGGATAATTAATGTATCAGGTTAGGATACCTAATGTATCAGATTATGATAATTAATGTATCAGGTTAGGATAATTAATGTATCAGGTTAGGATAATGAATGTATCTGGTTAGGAGACCTAATGTATCAGGTTAGGATAATACATGTATCAGGTTAGGAGACCTAATGTATCAGATTAGGATAAATAATGTATCAGGTTAGGAGTATTAATGTATCAGGTTAGGATAATGAATGTATCTGGTTAGGAGACCTAATGTATCAGGTTAGGATAATACATGTATCAGGTTAGGAGACCTAATGTATCAGATTAGGATAATTAATGTATCAGGTTAGGAGTATTAATGTATCAGGTTAGGAGACCTAATGTATCAGGTTAGGATAATTAATGTATCAGGTTAGGAGACCTAATGTATCAGATTAGGATAATTAATGTATCAGGTTAGGATAATTAATGTATCAGGTTAGGATAATTAATGTATCAGGTTAGGATAATTAATCAGGTTAGGATAATTAATGTATCAGGTTAGAAGTATTAATGTATCAGGTTAGGATAATTAATGTATCAGGTTAGGATAATTAATGTATCAGGTTATGAGACCAAATGTATCAGGTTAGGAGACCTAATGTATCAGATTATGATAATTAATGTATCATGTTAGAATAATTAATGTATCAGATTAGGAGACCTAATGTATCAGATTAAGATAATTAATGTATCAGGTTAGGATAAGTAAT